TGAATATCAGTGTCCACTTCTCCCCCCGACCAATAAGACAAAAGCCTCCTCATTTCGAAGTCTGGGCACCAGTTCCATGCCAGGGAACTGAATTTTGCATCTAAGTCTACATGGCTACATGTGACCAGTGACTACACCAGACAGCACTGGCACGCAACACCTCCAGCCCTCGGCCAGAGTCAACCTCCCGCATCCCCGGTGCCCTGCTCCCACCTCTGCCACAGGGAGGAGTGTGCCTGCTCCTGAGCTTCCTGTACGGGGATCACAGAGGCACAACTGTATGTAGCTTATGTCACTCAACACAGCACCCGAAAGCCATGCAGAGCAGTGCTGGTAAGTGCTTGACGACAGGCTCTCTGGAAAGTAAAACAACCCCATTCGCAGCATTTGCCGATGCTCACAGTGTAAATGCTCCCTCCGTGGCCGACTGGTGACATCAGCCAGCCAGGACCAGCTGGTTCCAACAAGCCACCGCTCAGGCCTGCTGTGGGCTCATTCGTGTTGTGGTGGCGGCAGGAGTGTGTCCTGCTCCCTGTGCGTACCCCACCCCCTGGCTCGAAGGGCAGCCAAGCCTCACGCCGCCTCCAAAGCCAAAAGAGCGTGGCTGGGGGGCGACTCCATGCCGATGTCCTCGATCTGGAAAGCGGGTGCCTCTGGGGCGCGCTGGAGCCCGGCTCTGCAGAGGCCCCGGAGGGGCAGAGCGGGTTCCCAGCGGACGGACGTGGGCGACCAGCTTCGCCGCGACTCCCGCCTGGAAGAGAAGGGCCCCAGCAGAGGAGGGGGCGGGAGGGGGCTGTTGCAAACAGCTGTTCCTCATACATATTTCATTACACAATCAGATAATGCGTCCCACCACCTTCTCAATTATTCACAGATAAACATTTTCAAGACGTTTTGACATCTGTCTTAGTGCTTGCTATTAATTTAGTAATCACTGTAGTTAAAAATGTATGGGATTTTTGCCGTTGGAGCACCTCCTCTCGGGCGGGCGGCGGGCGGCACCGTTGGGCTGTGGCTGGAAGCCTGGGCCCTCCGTGGGTGAAGACGCCTTTGGAGGTGAGACTATTAAATAGAAGGAATTAAAGGGGTATGAGGGTTATTTTATTTTTCAATTGAAGGTGATGGCTGTTCCCTCCCCCACCCACAAGTCCCGCTTCCCCACCCACAACCCTGAACCGGACAACACCGTTCAGCTCTTTGCACAGTGCGCTGCAGAAATGGTTAGCTTCTATGGGGCTCATTTTGGGGAAGGAGGGAGGGAGGGAGGGATGGAGAGAGAGAGAGAGAAAGAGAGAGAGAGAGAGAGAGCTCACACCTCACACAATCTTTAAGAAACCTAACAACACAGTAGGCCCTACTCAAGAGGTCACAAACCTCCGAGATTTTGCCCTGAGCCCTGTGGCAGACGTGACAAGGGCATTTAGGAAACAGAAAAAAATTCACGCCATTATCGGGGTGATCACTTGGTAAGTTATATGAATGTCTAATCACTATTGTACACATAAAGCTAATATAATATTATGTAAACTAATATAATAATACCAACTGTAATTAAAAAATAAAACAGTTGCTTCAGTGACTGTACTGGGACTTTTGAGACTATGAGAAAACAAACTGCTTTTCTGCTTGATGGATACATGTTGCAAGGATCTTAGCTATGTCCACACAGTTTTATAAATCAGAGTTTGAAGAATCTTGTAGAATTCATTGGTAAGTACAGTAATAGCAAACGTCTCCAACTGCTGATTGTTCTTTATGGCTGAAAAGGCTCTAAATAAACTACCTAGAGGAGGGAGACATGCCCCCAGGGAGATGGCTCTGCGTGTCCTGGATCTCCGCTCTGAGGAAAGGAACTTACACGTTGGGTTCAGGAGTGTGCTCTCCCTCATTTCTCTCTGTTGCAGTCTCTTCCCAAGGTGTGTCAGCAAGTGGACTCTGATTGGGGGAAAAGGAAAACCAAACCTGAGGAAAGAAAAACGTCTTGGAAGAAACTGCCCTTCCAAGGAAGATTAATGGCCTCTAAAGTGATGTTTTACTCTTTATTGTTCAAAACAGCTACAAGAATAAACTCTTGCTAAAATTTCCAGGAATTCAGTGTATGGGGGGGGGCACAGAATTTGCCTCCAAAAGGGAAGAAATTATTTCCTACTCATACCCCACACCCCCTCCATTTCTAGGGCAACTACATATGCTTCAAACACCTGCCTGCCACGCTCTCCAACCGGTTTGTCTCTTCTGCGCAAGGTGGACCTTCCTCTGCCCCTTGGAGGGCGAGCATCAAACTTGCTGCTTCTTTCTTTTTTTTTTTTCCTGAAAGAATTTCCCCAGGCTTGCCTCTACTTTAAGAGACAGAGTTGGGAAGGGAGGTGAAGGGGGAGGGAGGGGGAGGGCGAGCATCAAACTTGCTGCTTCTTTCTTTTTTTTTTTCCTGAAAGAATTTCCCCAGACTTGCCTCTACTTTAAGAGACAGAGTTGGGAAGGGAGGTGAAGGGGGAGGGAGGGCACCATTGCATCCAGTGCCCTTGCCTCTTCTGCAGGGAAACTGTACTGGCTACTGTCGGGACTCTGGAAGGTTCACTGGAACTGGGCAGGCAAGTGGAAAACCACAAACCGAAACCACAAACAAGCCTGTGCACTCCCTCCTGAAGTTGGGAATCCTACTCCCCAGCTTGGTGGGGATAGTGGGCGGTGTCTAGGATGGGAGAGGGGTGGGGGTGAGAACTTCCCTGTATCTCAAAAAAAAAAAGTTTAATAAACCAAATAATTCCGTCTGCTTTAGGGTGTTCTTTTGCGGATTATTTGCTCTAAAGGAGATTGGGATGGAAGCGAGGGCAAGAGGGTGTGTGTGGAGCCCAGCTCAGGTTTGTTTGTTTGTTTTGACGACTATATTTAGGTTAAGAGGAGTGAAAGGGGCAAAATAAGGGCCCTCCCTTTCTTCAACCCTTGGAGCTCCATGGTCCCATTAGGATTTAGGAATCTCACAGCATTTACTCCCCACCCCACCCTCCTGCAGTCTCGTAGTAAAGACAAATAATCCAGGGCAAAATGAACCTCTCCCGGATCGCCTTCTGGGCGTCTCCAGCCCAGCTGAGGCAGGTGAAAGGGTTGGCTTTGGGGTCGATGAGGTGCTCTCTCTAGTCTCCAGGACTTGACCCGAAATCTTTCCCCCAGTTGGCTCAGCAACGTTTCCCAGTCAGGAGCCAAGGTCCCTCTAGCAGGAAGCCCTGGGCTTGGGGGCCTGCCTCCTCGATCGGCCCCCATTCTCCTTGTGTGTGGCTTCCCGTCCATCTGCCCATGTGGCTAAGGTCACCAGCGCCGGCACTGTGGCTCTTGTCTGCATCTGGAGCACTGGGTGTGCACCCGTGCATCCGAACATTCTGTCTGTGGACACTTCTTTTTTTCTTCAAATTCTGCTGCTAATGTTCTTCTAATACCCTCGTGTGTTTGCGTACAGTTTGCCTGTACACCCCGTGTGCAGTAAAGTGACAGCTTAAGCCTGAGCTCGGACGCGTGCAACCTCCTTGCCTGCTGCGGAGTAGATGGATGGGCAAGTGCGAACTGGGGGCTGTAGGTGAGGTGCAAGGTTAATAAGGCTTCTTGGACCCAGGGCCCTCTAGGCCTGTTACACCTTCAACTGCGCAGCTTCCTAACCTTCCGGGAGGAGGGAGACCCAGCGAGGATTCTGCTCCTCACTCCTTTCCGGATGGGTCGAAAGAGCCTCTGTGGCCTCTCAGGGTGGGGGTGGATTCGGGGCCCCAAAAGATCAGGCCAAATGGGGGAGGGAGAAGTCGCGTGATCACTCAGAGACTCGAGACCGCACCCTTCGCCCCAGGCCACCACAGGCCGCTTGCGCTCCCGAGAACCTGGGCAAGGTGTAGGACCCGATCCAAAGTCGCGGCACCTCTGGTCTAGGAGTCCGCTTGTTTGGGAGCGAAACTCCCCTCGGATTCCCCAGAGCAGCGCTACTGGGAACTGGGAACTGTCCTGGGCCCGCC